TTTTATTAAGAAATTTATTAAAAAGTTAGGTTATTTTCGATTTTCTCAATAAATATTAAAAATAGAAAAAAACTTTCTTATAAAAAAAGAAGCACTGTTAAATAAGCAATCGTTTATGTTCCATAAATATTTTTCTATCCCATTAAGTTTTTGAGTTATTATTAATTATAGTCGCCAATAGAAGTTAATAAAAGTGGGGTTATGATGTAGTAACTTAATAAATGGTAATGATAGAAAAAAACTTTTTAATTATAAAATAATCGTTATTTGATAAGGATTTTTTTTTATTAAAATCATTTTCTTCCATCTCATTTAGTTTTTAAGTTGCAACAACTTTTATTGAGAAATTTGCAAAAAGTAAGGTTATTTTCGTTTTTCTCAATAAATATTAAAAATAGAAAAAAACTTTCTTATTGAAAAAGAAGCACTATTAAATAAGCAAACATTTATGTCCTAAACATTTTTTTCTATCTCATTGAGTTTTTGAGTTATTATTAATTATAATCGCCAATCGAAGTTAATAAAAGTGAGGTTATGATATAGTAACTTAATAAATGGTAATGATAGAAAAAAACTTTTTAATTATACAATAATCGTTATTTAATAAGGATTTTTTTCTATTAAAATAATTTTTTCAATCTCATTTAGTTTTTGAGTTGCAACAATTTTTATTGAGAAATTTGCAAAAAGTGAGGTTATTTTCGATTTTCTCAATAAATATTAAAAATAGAAAAAAACTTTCTTAGTGAAAAAGAAGCACTATTATATAAGTAATCATTGATGTTCTAAAAATTTTTTTCTATCCCTTTTAATTTTTGAATTATTATTAATTATAATCGCCAATCGACGTTAATAAAAGTGAGGTTATAATGTAATAACTTAATAAATATTAATGATAGAAAAAAACTTTTTAATTATAAAATAGTCCTTATTCAATAACAAATTTTTTTTATTAAAATCATTTTTTACCATCTCGTTTAGTTAAGAAGTAATTTACAAAATTCGATTTTATAAATAAATACAAAAAATACCTCAATTCTATCATCAAAACTCTCTTAAAATAGTTTTAATTTAAGGCTATGTGATTACATCAGCTCTGTACATGAGAAAATTTGCGATTTAATTTCTAAATTTACCGTAAACACATAATTACTCAATGTGTTAACATTTTTAAACACTTTTTTTTCAATTGTAAAAATATGCTCCGTTTTCTCATTTTGAAAAATAAAACGTAACGACCTCTCCGCGCTTCGAAGCGTATCAATTGAAAGTTTTTCAATGCAAGCGGAAGTTGTAAAGCAAATTGATCGTTCATGCAACGAAAACACATTGACCTACGGGTTTCTTTTAATTTACATATAAACAATAATTACTATTTTTTTGAATACACACAAATGATTCGATTCGAATACGCGATAGTGAAAACTTGTTATGCAGTCTTTTCCGCATGTAAGGAAAAGTAGTACGTAGTCTGCTTAAATCGAGCAAAACTTTTTACAGGTGAAAACAAACTGGTAAATGAACATTTTTAGAATTCCGTTTGAAATTCTTTGAATGTATTAACCCAAATAAATTTTTGAAGGTTAAAAGACAATCATTTCTTTTATAATGTACCATAAAACAAACAAAGAAACTCGTTGAACCCTTTTTTAACACTTACTTACAACAAAAAAAATCTTAAGTGCTTGTTCTACTTTTTTTAAGTACGTTTAAACTTAAACTTGAGTTAATCACGTCATTATCAACACCCAATTTAACTTGCAATTGCAAGCGACAGTTACTTTTTACAATTTACAATGTTATTTTCTAAACTTGGCTATTACAAAAGTGGAGCAATGACTTTGTAATTTTGCTTTTTTTTAATCTTTTCGGTTCTTTGTCTAATGCAGCTCGTCCGAATGCACGAAAGGTACGAAAATTCCCGTTAACGGTTTCTTTCTTTATCGTTGTTGTTGGTTTCGATTATTTTAGTCCATTCGCGCCGAATTTTCATGGTGTGATGGAGGTCACTGGGTCGAAACCTGGACGTTAAAAAACGCAACCTCTCCTCTACATTTTAGCAATAGGATAAAAACGAATTTTTAAACGTGCGAAATAACGGAAATTTTGATTTCTAAATCTAAACAAGTCGGACAATTTTATTTTAATGAATAGTTTTATTACCTCCAATTAGTGTAGAATTTATGCGGAAAAAGGAAACTAAAGCTGTATATCACAATTTTTACTTTCTCTTCTCCTCATATTACGGGATATACCATACGTATAACCGGAGCGTTAAATGTAATTTCGAAATCATTCAAGAGATAATAAAACTGTCGAGAACGTCGGAGTTTTAACGCACGTTTTGCCCAACCCTGGAGAAACTATAATATATCTTTCAAACCGTTTTTGCCTGCATATTTACTTTCTTCCTTAGGAAATGTAAAGTTTTGAATTAATTTGTTGAATTAATTAAGAAAACAGTACGATGCTGGACATTGTTAGGTACACCATTATGCAATCAAAAACTTTTGTAGAAATTAATCCATAACTCTTGACAATTATACTTATACGTATTCACTTAGTTTCTTCATGAATTCATGAATTCTTTTCAGAATACATTAGTAATATACAGAGAAAAGAATGAGTTCAGGCTGTTTGTATTTTTGTATCAATATTTATTAAGTTACTACATCATAACCTCACTTTTATTAACTTTGATTGGCGATTATAATTAATAATAACTCAAAAACTAAAAGGGATAGAAAAAAATGTTTGCAACATAAATTATTGCTTATTTAATAGTGCTTCTTTTTCGATAAGAAAGTTTTTTCCTATTTTTTATATTTATTGAGAAAATCGAAGATAACCTTACTTCTTGTAAATTTCTTAATAAAAATTGTTGCAACTCAAAAACTAAATGAGATGGAACAAAATGATTTTAATAAAAAAAAATCCTTATTAAGTAACGATTATTTTATAATTAAAAAGTTTTTTTTATCACTAATATTTATTAAGTTACTACATCATAACCTCACTTTTATTAACTTTGATTGGCGATTATAATTAATAATAACTCAAGAACTAAAAGGGATAGAAAAAAATGTTTGGAACATAAATGATTGCTTATTTGATAGTGCTTCTTTTTTGATAAGAAAGTTTTTTCCTATTTTTAATATTTATTGAGAGAATCGAAAATAACCTAACTTTTTTATAAATTTCTTAATAATAATTGTTGCATCTCAATAATGAAATGAGATGGAAAAAAATGATTTTAATAAAAAAAATTCCTTATTAAATAACGATTATTTTATAATTAAAAAGTTTTTTTCTATCATTAACATTTATTAAGTTACTACATCATAACCTCACTTTTATTAACTTTGATTGGCGATTATAATAAATAATAACTCAAAAACTAAAAGGGATAGAAAAAAATGTTTGGAACATAAATGATTACTTATTTAATAGTGCTTCTTTTTCAATAAGAAAGTTTTTTTCTATTTTTAATATTTATTGAGAAAATCGAAAATAACCTAACTTTTTTATAAATTTCTTAATAAAAGTTGCTGCAACTCAAAAACTGAATGAAATAGAAAAAAATTATTTTAATAAAAAAAAATCCTTATCAAATAACGATTATTTTATAACTAAAAAGTTTTTTTCTATCATTAACATTTATTAAGTTACTACATTATAACCTCACTTTTATTAACTTCGATTGGCGATTATAATAAATAATAACTCAAAAACTAAAAGAGATAGAAAAAAATGTTTTGAACATAAATGATTACTTATTTAATAGTGCTTCTTTTTCCATAAGAAAGTTTTTTTCTATTTTTAATATTTATTGAGAAAATCGAAAATAACCTTACTTTTTTATAAATTTCTTAATAAAAGTTGTTGCAACTCAAAAACTAAATGAGATTGAAAAAAATTATTTTAATAAAAAAAATTCCTTGTTTAATAAGGATTATTTTATAATTAAAAAGTTTTTTTCTATCATTAACATTTATTAAGTTGCTACATTATAACCTCACTTTTATTAATTTCAATTGGCGACTATAATTAATAACAACTCAAAAACTAAAAAGGATAGAAAAAAATGTTTCGGACATAAACGATTGCTTATTAAATGGTACTTCTTTTTCAATAAGAAAGTTTTTTTCTATTTTTAATGTTTATCGAGAAAATCGAAAATAACCTAACTTTTTTATAAATTTCTTAATAGTAATTGTTGCAACTCAATAATGAAATGAGATGGAAAAAAATGATTTTAATAAAAAAAATTTCTTAAAAAGTAAGGATTATTTTATAATTAAAAAGTTTTTTTCTATCATTAATATTCATTAAGTTACTGCATCATAACCTCACTTATTAATTTCAATTACCGGTTATAATTAATTATAAATCTCAGAAACTAAATGAGATGGAGAAAAATGATTTTAATAAAAAATATTTCTTATTAACTAAGGATTATTTTATAATTAAACTTTTTTTTCCTATCATTCTCCAAATAGCACATTTTTGATTTATTGAAATAATCGTGTTATTAACAAATTTTACGACGCTTTTTTATAGCTTTTTTACATTTCAGTGATGAACACCGTAAAAACCTCTAAAATCTTATTAATACCGTTTCAAGGTACAAAGAAAAAGCTTTTCTCATCATTTAGAAAGCTATCATTCATTAAGAATACCGGTCACATCAATAATTAAACATCCTTAATTAGATTTCTCATCCGTTATTCATGATAATTTATTAAACACCTTTTAGATAATAGACACAAAAAGAGATAATACGATATAATCAATATATAATGTTTTTACAACTCGCTTCGTTTGCGCAATTTAATAAAGCATATAAAAAGCACTTTGGGGTTTAATAAAAAAATTAAAAACAGATAACTTTCTTAATAGATGTTAAGCAATAAATTGTGATGTAGCAATTGATTTAAGAGTGTCATTAAATGTTTAATAACAATAACAAATTTAATTTTACTTAATTAAATTAATCTTACCTTTTAGGAAAGTTCATTCTTCTATTTTTGGTTAAGATTTCCGCAAAAATTTTCATGATTATTTAAAGATAAACCGAAAATTAAATTAAATCAAATCGAAAATGAAATAATCATTTTTTTATAAACAAATTGTTTGTATTAAAATACTTTTTTTAATAAAATTTGAGTTACACACACCGAAATATAATATTTTTTGAGATGATATGAAGAATTGTCTTCCTCTGTTGGAGGATCACGATGAACTGTTGAACATCCTCTAGCTCTACCATGTTTTTAGTGTTGTGGGCCATTTCAACCTCTTTCTCTGTCGCTCTTTCTTTCTCCTTGGGATCCTGCGGTTTTACCACGCCTAAACACTCTTTTCCAACAGCGTTTCCTCACTTGGCCTACTCTTCTTTAACTTTAACTGGGGGTTATATATTTCGATCTTAAAACGATTCGTTTTACTATTTTATGGAAAATAATAAAGAAATTAAAACAAATAGCTAATAAGCCATTAAGGTTTTTTTATTTAATAGAAATTTCTCTATATGTAGGTAATTAACGGTTCAAATGATTAATGTTTTTAAATCAAAATTAAGTTTTTAATTAATTTTTGTAAAAAATCGTTCCCTGAAGATGCGTTTCGCGTCGAAATCGGTATTATTTTATACGTAAGAAATAAAATCTTGATGTGAGCAGGTGATTTTTTCAAATTCCATTATTTTATTGAGGTTAAGTTGACAAAATCGCAATTTACAACATCGTATCTCAAGAAATAATTGAGGTATCAAGTTGATTTAAAAACCATTTTAAAGCAAATTTAATCTAGTTTCAACACACCAAAAATAATTTCTTCGCTTCTACAAATTCAGGTGATACGATTTTTTTAATTCAACTCTTTTCTTATTGAGGTTAAGTAGAATAATGCAATTTACATGATCGTATCTCAAGAACGAATTGAGATATCATCATGAAATAAAAATCATTTTGAAGCAAATTTAATTAATATTTAATGAGGTTAAAATCAATTTTTTATTGCAACAAATTTCGATGTTATGATTTTTTTAATTCATCTCTACATTTTTATTTTTGACAGATTAAGATTGAAAATACCAAATTTGAAAAAAATCATATCTCAAGAAATAATTGAGATATCAAGATGATTTAAAAACCATTTTAAAGCAAATTTAATCTAGTTTTATCACACCGAAAATAATTTCTTCGTCTCTACAAATTCAGGTGATAGGATTTTTTTAATTCAACTCTGTTCATATTGAGGTTAAGTTGAATAATGCAATTTACAACATAGTATCTCAAGAACGAATTGAGATATCGCCATGAAATAAAAATCATTTTTAAGCAAATTTAATTAATATTTAATAAGGTTGAAATTAATTTTTTATTGTAACAAATTTCGATATTATGATTTTTTTAATTCATCTCTACATTTTTATTTTTGACAGATTAAGATTGAAAATACCAAATTTGAAAAAAATCATATCTCAAGAAATAATTGAGATATCAAGATGATTTAAAAACCATTTTAAAGCAAATTTAATCTAGTTTCAACACACCGAAAATAATTTCTTCGTTTCTACAAATTCAGGTGATACGATTTTTTTAATTCAACTCTGTTCTTATTGAGGTTAAGTTGAATAATGCAATTTACATGATCGTATCTCAAGAACGAATTGAGATATCGCCATGAAATAAAAATCATTTTGAAGCAAATTTAATTAATATTTAATGAGGTTAAAATTAATTTTTTATTGCAACAAATTTCGATGTTATGATTTTTTTAATTCATCTCTACATTTTTATTTTTGACAGATTAAGATTGAAAATACCAAATTTGAAAAAAATCATATCTCAAGAAATAATTGAGATATCAAGATGATTTAAAAACCATTTTAAAGCAAATTTAATCTAGTTTCAACTCACCAAAAATAATTTCTTCGCTTCTACAAATTCAGGTGATACGATTTTTTTAATTCAACTCTGTTTTTATTGAGGTTAAGTTGAATAATGCAATTTACATGATCGTATCTCAAGAACGAATTGAGATATCGCCATGAAATAAGAATCATTTTGAAGCAAATTGAATTAATATTTAATGAGGTTAAAATAAATTTTTTAATGCAACAAATTTCGATGCTATGATTTTTTTAATTCATCTCTACATTTTTATTTTTCACAGATTAAGATTGAAAATACCAAATTTGAAAAAATCATATCTCAAGAAATAATTGAGATATCAAGATGATTTAAAATCCATTTTAAAGCAAATTTAATCTAGTTTCAACACACCAAAAATAATTTCTTCGCTTCTACAAATTTAGGTGATATGATTTTTTTAATTCAACTTTATTTTTATTGATGTTAAGTTGAATAATGCAATTTACATGATCGTATCTCAAGAACGAATTGAGATATCACCATGAAATAAAAATCATTTTGAAGCAAATTTAAGTAATATTTAATGAGGTTAAAATTAATTTTTTATTGCAACAAATTTCGATGTTATGATTTTTTTAATTTATCTCTACATTTTTATTTTTGACAGATTAAGATTGAAAATACCAAATTTGAAAAAATCATATCTCAAGAAATAATTGATATATCAAGATGATTTAAAAACCATTTTAAAGCAAATTTAATCTAGTTTCAACACACCAAAAATAATTTTTTCGCTTCTACAAATTCAGGTAATACGATTTTTTTAATTCAACTCTGTTTTTATTGATGTTAAGTTGAATAATGCAATTTACATGATCGTATCTCAAGAACGAATTGAGATATCGCCATGAAATAAAAATCATTTTGAAGCAAATTTAATTAATATTTAATGAGGTTAAAATTAATTTTTTATTGCAACAAATTTCGATGTTATGATTTTTTTAATTCATTTCTACATTTTTATTTTTGACAGATTAAGATTGAAAATACCAAACTTGAAAAATCATATCTCAAGAAATAATTGAGATATCAAGTTGATTTAAAAACCATTTTAAAGCAAATTTAATCTAATTTTAACACATCAAAAATAATTTCTTCGCTTCCACAAAGTCAGGTGATACGATATTTTTAATTCAACTTGGTTTTTATTGAGGTTAAGTTGAATAATGCAATTTACATGATCGTATCTCAAGAACGAATTGAGATATCGCCATGAAATAAAAATCGTTTTGAAGCAAATTTAATTAATATTTAATCAGGTTAAAATCAATTTGATATTGCAACAAATTTCGATGTTATGATTTTTTTAATTCATCTCTCCATTTTTATTTTTGACAGATTAAGATTGAAAATACCAAATTTGAAAAAAATCATATCTCAAGAAATAATTGAGATATCAAGATGATTTAAAAACCATTTTAAAGCAAATTTAATCTAGTTTCAGCACACAGACAATAATTTCTTCGTATCTATAAATTCAGGTGATACGATTTTTTTAATTCAATTCTGTTTTTATTGATGTTAAGTTGAATAATGCAATTTACATGATCGTATCTCAAGAACGATTTGAGATATCGCCATGAAATAAGAATCATCTTGAAGCAAATTTAATTAATATTTAATGAGGTTAAAATTAATTTTTTATTGCAACAAATTTCGATGTTATGATTTTTTTAATTCATTTCTACATTTTTATTTTTGACAGATTAAGATTGAAAATACCAAATTTGAAAAAATCATATCTCAAGAAATAATTGAGATATCAAGATGATTTAAAAACCATTTTAAAGCAAATTTAATCTAGTTTCAACACACCGAAAATAATTTCTTCGCTTCTACAAATTCAGGTGAAACAATTTTTTTAATTCAACTCTGTTCTTATTGAGGTTAAGTTGAATAATGCAATTTACATGATCGTATCTCAAGAACAAATTGAGATATCGCCATGAAATGAAAATCATTTTGAAGCAAATTTAATTAATGTTTAATGAGGTTAAAATTAATTTTTTATTGTAACAAATTTCGATGTTATGATTTTTTTAATTCATCTCAACATTTTTATTTTTGACAGATTAAGATTGAAAATACCAAATTTGAAAAAAATCATATCTCAAGAAATAATTGAGATATCAAGATGATTTAAAAACCATTTTAAAGCAAATTTAATCTAGTTTCAACACACCGAAAATAATTTCTTCGTTTCTACAAATTCAGGTGATACGATTTTTTTAATTCAACTCTGTTCTTATTGAGGTTAAGTTGAATAATGCAATTTACATGATCGTATCTCAAGAACGAATTGAGATATCGCCATGAAATAAAAATCATTTTGAAGCAAATTTAATTAATATTTAATGAGGTTAAAATTAATTTTTTATTGCAACAAATTTCGATGTTATGATTTTTTTAATTCATCTCTACATTTTTATTTTTGACAGATTAAGATTGAAAATACCAAATTTGAAAAAAATCATATCTCAAGAAATAATTGAGATATCAAGATGATTTAAAATCCATTTTAAAGCAAATTTAATCTAGTTTCAACTCACTAAAAATAATTTCTTCGCTTCTACAAATTCAGGTGATACGATTTTTTTAATTCAACTCTGCTCTTATTGAGGTTAAGTTGAATAATGCAATTTACATGATCGTATCTCAAGAATGAATTGTGATATTATTATGAAATAAAAATCATTTTGAAGCAAATTTAATTAATACTTAATGAGGTTAAAATTAATTTTTTATTGCAACAAATTTCGATTTTATGATTTTTTTAATTCATCTCTACATTTTTATTTTTGACAGATTAAGATTGAAAATACCAAATTTGAAAAAAATCATATCTCAAGAAATCATTGAGATATCAAGATGATTTAAAATCCATTTTAAAGCAAATTTAATTAATATTTAATGTGATTAAAATTAATTTTTTATTGCAACAAATTTCGATGTGTGATTTTTTTAATTCATCTCTACATTTTTATTTTTGATAGATTAAGATTGAAAATACCAAATTTGAAAAAAATCATATCTCAAGAAATAATTAAGATATCAACTTGATTTAAAATCCATTTTAAAGCAAATTTAATCTAGTTTCATCACACCGAAAATAATTTCTTCGTTTCTACAAATTCAGGTGATACGATTTTTTTAATTCAACTCTGTTCTTATTGAGGTTAAGTTGAATAATGCGATTTACATGATCGTATCTCAAGAACGAATTGAGATATCGCCATGAAATAAAAATCATTTTGAAGCAAATTTAATTAATATTTAATGACGTTCAAATTA